GCGGCCGCGCTGGAGGGGTGTTCCGGCGGCACTCGGCAGGGGGTAGGGCGGGCTCTGGCGGCGCGGCGTTTGGGGAGGGCGGAGCTCGGCGCTCAGCGGGGATGCTTGGGGGCGGCGCTTTTTTTTGCTGCTTGGGGCAGCAAAAAAGCTAGAGCCGGCCCTGTCAGCAGTACAGTTCCTTATGGACAGGAGCCTGGCTGCATCACAACTGAAACCCTTGTTTGGATTAGCAGAGCTGGCTCAAATCTGAATGCCCTCGCTCGTGTAGAAATATCAGGTCAGATGTTGAGGTATGATGAGCAGAAGGAGGCTATGCAGGGGACGTTTGAACCACTGCTGCCCTAAATGTACTCACTTTATGAAGGAATAAATAAAATAAAGGAGCATTTCACTCTCACTGTATATCTATTTTTTTTTAAGAGAGGTAGAAGAATATTTGCACTGACATTGTCAACCTGCAGTACTGAGATGCTCACAAGTCTATTGAATTCTTAATCAACAGCTGAAACATAGAGGAATGTGTTAATAGCGCCAGGCTCATCTCACAATGATAACAGAACTATTAATACATTTCACTGCTGCTCATAAATATACATTGCCTGCCAAAGTAAAAGCTGTTCTATTACTAAGTGGTGATATTAAAAATACCAGGTTTTTCCGACCACATTATTACTGACACTGCTCCCACCCTCCCCACTCAGAACTCAGATTCCCCATCTCCTCAGATTCCGACCCTATTTGCTCCTGTAGGAACACATGCAGGCATTTGTGTGACTCTGGGCAAAGGAGGAGGGTGCGAGAGAGGTTTGCAGTGGCTTTGGTTTCATTTATTTGCCATGTTTGATCCTGCTCTAAAGTGTGTTTTCTGCTGTGAAAAGTAAGTTTGCGTACACAGTATTGTGAGCATTCTAGTTTTTATGGCCCTGCAACAGTTTCTTCTTTGTTTACATGTAAAAAAGAGAGTTTTCCTATTTGCTGGCCGCCCTGAAATCCTGGGCTTCGGCAGTCAAGTTTCCAGTCAATGTCTCATCATTCCCCCTCCCACTGGCCACTGCTGCATTGCTAACATTCATACAGGCTTGCGTTATTCACTGGGTCCTTTCTGTGGGCTGAAAGTAGTGCAGAGTTTTCAAATGCTTTCAGAACTAACTCTGCAAACCAGTTATTTCATCATCCAGAGAGTCAGTGCAAGTCTTCCTTGCATCGAGTTAATATGTTTTTTGAGGAATCATTTCCAGGGTCCAGGGCTGGAAGGAAAGGGGAGAGAAGAGGCTGTTGGACACTCAGGGGTAGGGAAGCTAATTAAGGAAAATGCATCTATGAGGATGAAATGGGCAATAATCATGGACCAAAAAATTTTTTTAGGATGCTTGTCATATCAGAGAACCTGGAGTCAAGTGTCCTGATGGATGTCTCTTCACCCTATGGTGCTACCGCCACAAATGTTGCAAATCAGCTTGGTATCAGCTGTTCTACTCCTGGCTCAGTGTCTATTCCATCAAAAGGTGGGGGGGGGGCACTCTGCAATGCCTCTGCAGCATATACAGTACTGTACCAGTTACTCACTGCTCCTTTGAAGCACACAGCACAATCTGCAGGGATGCTTAATCAAAGTCCAGTATTATGGTTAGGAATTCAAGGATTTCTTCCCTTCCTGCCTGCAATCCTCTCTCTCTCATATTATTATTATTATTATTATTTATATATATATATATATATATATAAATTT